GGGTCATAAATCATTTTTGACAGGAGCTACACAGGTATACTACTGATGTGAGTGTGGACATGTAAGCTCACAGTAAACGCTGGCCTGATTATTATCCATGTGTGATCACACAAGTTTTGTCATGGGTCCATCCTATGGAATTCTGGGATTTATAGTTTGTTGTGGCACCAGGGCTCCCTGACAAAGAAGGCTAAATATCTCACAAAACTACAAATCTCAAAATTCCATAATATTGAACCATGGCAATTAAAGCAGTAACAAACTGCAGTAATTCTGCAGTATAGATGCAGCCTCAGAAAGTCAGACAGGGAGAAGGTGACCTTCAAACAGGGTTTGGATTTAAGACAGAATTTGAAGCTGGCTCTGACAGGGCATTGAACTGATAGAGGCAGAGTTTTAGATTTAAGGAAGAAGAGAAAACTACCGGTACCTTTGATACTGGGGAGCTGAAAATATAGAATATTAGAGTTTGTTATATTCTTATACTATGGACCTTATCACACGGGGTCCAAGCAGTCGCATCCCCGTCCCATTGCGCTTCCTTCCGGTCACGGGAAATGTAATTCCCATTTCGACCAGGAATCCAAAAGAACGGGGATGATACGGGAATGCGACGGGGATGCGACAGGGATGGGCGGCGTTTCCCTGCGACGTCGTTTGATCACCCGGGGAAAGGAAGCGCAATGGGACGGGGATGCCACAGGGATGGGACTGCTTCAGACCCCCATGTGATAAGGTCCTATGTTTATAAATCTATTCTTATTGTTGTTTTAAACTTGTTTCTGCCTGTCTGTGAAGTTGGACTCAGGCCACACATACCAAACTAAAGAATTAACACAACAACACAACTATAAATTCATATTTATGGGGTAACCTAATCCAAAAAGGGAAGAATTCGGGGAACAAGAGTGGGGTGAGTGGCAGGATTCCTAAGGGTTGGCGTTTTGGGGCCAGCCTGGGTAAAGGGATTTGTCGCAGAAATATAACATTTTTAGTCCTTTGTAACAGGTCTTTTCCACTTGTGAAGAAAGAGGATGATCTCAGTCTGGAGACCTGTATCAATATTCAGACTTTCTTCTGCTAGACTGGGATCTGAGCTACTCAAAGGCCTGTTTGAGAATACCAGACATGATACTACTGTGTGTGTATAATCTGTTATTCCCTTTTTAAGCAAACACCTTTGGTCATGGAAACTGTACTGCAGCACCTATGATTATTAATAATTACCATGATCCTTGGCTGAGTTCAGTCTCTCAATGGGAGCCAACAACATTGGGGGAATTCCACTGTGGGCAATTGCTCCTCCCTTGGGCAATCTTTCCTCTTTATCTGCAGTTTTCAAGCTTCTGTGTGCAATTTTACAATAAACTGCTCTGCAGAGTTT